ACCAATGGATAAAAGATCTCTGTCTCTCCCTCTCTTTCTATAATTCTGCCTTTCAAATGCATAAATCCTTTTACAAATAAGGAATAGAAGTCTACTGGGTAGTCCATGAGCATGGGGCTGGCCCCTAGTGAGGGCCTTTTTGCTGAGTCCTCCCAAGGTGGAAGACAGCCTCTGTAGAGACAGAAGCAGGTGCCAATTCAAATCTTCTTCCTCCTCTCACAAAGCTACTGATGCCATCATGGACAATCCACTGACATCTCTCTCTCTCTTTTTAGGATCATTTTTATTTTATTTGAAAGACAGAGTTGGCTGGCGCCATGGCTCACTTGGCTAATGCTCCGTCTGTGGCGCCAGCATCCCAGGTTCTAGTCACGGTTGTGGCGCCGGATTCTGTCCTGGTTGCTTCGGTTGCTCCTCTTCCAGTCCAGCTCTCCGCTGTGGCCCAGGAAGGCAGTGGAGGATGGCCCAAGTCCTTGGGCCTTGCACCCACATGGGAGACCAGGAGAAGCACCTGGCTCCTGGCTTTGGATCGGCGCAGCGCCATTTGGGGGGTGAACCAATGGAAGGAAGACCTTTCTCTCTGTCTCTCTTTCTCACTGTCTAACTCTGCCTGTCAAAAAAAAAAAAAAAGTTACAGAGAGAGGTAGAGCCAGAGAGAGAGAGAGAGAGAGAGAAGGGTCTTCCATTCTTCTGGTTCACCCCCCAAATGACCACAACAGCCAGAGCTGAGCTGATCCGAAGCCAGGAGCCAGGAGCTTCTTCCAGGTCTCCCACATGAGTGTAGGGGCCTAAGGACTTGGACCATCCTCCTCTGCTTTCCCAGGCCATAGCAGAGAGCAGGATTGGAAGTGGAGCAGCTGGGACTCGAACCTGCGCCCGTAAGGGATGCGGGCGCTGCAGGCTGGGGCTTTTACCTGCTGTGCCACAATGCCAGCACCCCCTCCCCACCCCCTCTGACATCTCAATCACCTCCGCATGGAGACCCCACCCTCACAACTTCATGTCATCTCATAGCACTGACATAGCAGTTGGGGGGATAAGTTTGCAGTGTGTGAACATTCAAACCACAACAGCAGCCCTGTCCTTCTGCCTCAAGACCCCAGCCTGCCACTCCACCCTGAGGCCGTGCCCCTGGGGAGGAAGCCCTGCTCCTGTTCCCTGAAACATGACCTGTGACCTAGGACTGGCTGCCTGCGGGTGGGCGGTGAGGAGGCCCTCAGGGGTGGGTCTGCCACCTGCTGTCTACCCAGGGAAGCCCAGGAGGACCTGCTCAGGTGAGTCCAGGAGGCATGGAGCCATCAGGTCTTGGAGAACTGGACATGTGGAATGCTCAGCCCAGGGGTTTGCGCAGGGGGCATCCTTTGGCTTGGGCCCGTGTGCTGGAGGCTCGGCAGCCAAAGTTCGATGTTAATAGATTCAGGGTGGAGGCGCCATACTTCATGACGTCTGCAGGTTACGTCTGCAGATAGGGCCTTAGGGAACTGGCAGCATGGGCTTATGTTGCAGGCGTGGAGTTCCCATGGTCCCCTGGCTTCCAGGGCTCTCTTGCTCTGTCCCCAGCTCCCCTACTCTCCTCTGAGCTCCCTGAGGTGCAAACCCTGGGTTTCTTGCCACCTTGCCCACAAGAAACACACCATGTCCCTGGGACTTTGGTCTCTCCACAAGGCCTCTCTTAGCCTGAATCTTCGTGCAGCTTCTTAGCCTCCAGGGCCCACCCAGACAGGGCTTCCCTCACCTGCACCTTAAGGGCATTTAATCTGTTTTGCAAAATTTCTGCTTGTTGGTTTATATCCAAGAGCCCTCTCAAGGCAGTTAGCCAGTTGGTTCCCAATGCCTGAAATGTGTATATGTGTACAAACACATACATATGTACTTCTTGAATAAATGCACGGTATCAAGTTGAACTGAAATGACCATGAACTGTAAAAATGAAAGAAGACCTAAGCCCTTGGAGGCCTCACAGCCTGGGCTGGCCTCCCAGCAGGTGCTCTCACGGGAACTGGGATGGGACAAAGCTGCCTGTCCCACCTCCCTTCCTTAGTGACAGTGCTCATGCCCATGTATGTACGCTGTACGCTGATCCCATTCAGCCCTCACAGGCACCCAGAAAATGACGGGTCCTCATCCCACAGGGTGCGAATCCTGCCCATGTCTTTCACCAGGCCCTGAGCACTGGGGAAAAAGCAGGATGCCTGAATCTCTAGGGGGCTGTTGGCTCCGCCAGCTCCTGGGCTGTCCTTCCTGGCCCTCATTGGCTGTCGCACTAAGTCCTTTCTCATCAATGCCTCCCGGCAGCTTCAGTCCCCAGAGATAAGAACAGTGGACGACAGGTAACAAGCTTGAGCCACTGGCTCAGGAATGCCTGTAGCATATTCCTCCTGATTCTGCTGCCTCAGGGACAAGGGAGGTCAGGGTCCAGCCCAGCTCCCTGACCCCTCCTCCCGGAAGTCCAGCTTCTGTCAAGGCCCCTGTGTGCAGCTTCCCAGAGACCTGTGCCCAGGGCTCACCCCTTCTCTGCTCGGCCAGCCCAGGCCCCGGCTCCTTCTCACCCTCTGCTCTGGACTCTGTCTGAGACATCAGGTCCCGCTGTCCCCTAGGTGCTCCAGGGTCAGACCCCACCTGCTGAGTCTCCAGGGCCAATGGACAAAGCCCTTTTCAGCTCAGTCCTGTTTCACTGGATTATCAAAAAGAAATACAGGGACAGCTGCCCACCTCCAGGCTTCCCGCCTACCCGTGTGTGTTCCCGCGCATTGCAGAGCAGTCCCATCTCGAGTCGCTTGTTGTCCGCTGCCTCTTGCTCATTCTGTTTTCCTTCTAATGGACTCACAACAACTGTACCCATTCATGGGCTACTCAGTGTGCTGTTTCTGTACAGGTGTGCATTGGGTAGTGAGCAAATAGGGTAATTAGTTCCCATTTCTTGGTGGTGAAAACTTTTTTTTTTTTAAGATTTACTTATTTATTTGAAAGCCAGAGTTACACAGAGAGAGAAAGACAGGCAGAGAGAGATCAAGGTCTTCCATCTGCTGGTTCACTCCCCAGTTGGCTGCAATGGCCAGAGCTGGGCCTATCTGAAGCCAAGAGCCAGGAGCTTCTTCTGGGTTTTCCACGTGGGTGCAGGGGACCAAGAACTTGGACCATCTTCTACTGCTTTCCCAGGCCATAGCAGAGAGCTGGATTGGAAGTGAAGCAGCCGGGACTGGAACCAGCACCCATATGGGATGCCAGCATGGCAGGCGGAGGCTTTACCCTCTACGCCACAGTGCTGGCCCCTGAGAACTTTCAAGATCCTCTCTTTGGACAGATCCAGAGCTTCCTTGCTGCCTGTGGCTGCCCTACGCTGCAGTGGAACATGGTATCTTGTGTCTCCTGTCCAGCTGAATATTGTACCTGGGTTTAGCATTTCCCTTCTCTCTTCCCCATCTCCCTTCCCATCGCCACTCTTCTATGCTCTGCTTCTCCGAGACTGTTGGTTGTTTTTATCTATCTGTTTATGTTTGGTATCATTATTTGTTTATTTGCGAGGCAGAGAGACAGAGCTAGTTCCCATTCATAGGTTTGTTCCCCTAAATGCCTGCACCAGCCAGCGCTGAACCAGGGCCAGAGCCAGGAGCCAGGAAGACAACCCAGGTCACCCCACATCGGGGGAAGGACTCTGCCTATAGGAGTTATCACTGCTGCTTCACAGGGTCTCCACTTGCAGGAGGCTGGAATGGGAAGCCGGAGCCAGGAACTGAACCCAGGCCCTCTGATGTGGGGCCTGGGTATAACTAGTCAGCGTCTTAACTCTTAAGCCAAATGGTCCTTTCACTTGCTCTCCTAGGCCTCCCTAAGTCCTGGGCAGCCTGAATGCTGGGCCACCTGGGAGCTGAGTCATCATGAGCCCGAGAGGAGAGAGACATGGACAGAGAGGAGAGACAGGAGGAGGGACAGTGGGATGGAGGCGGGCAGGCAGGAGCCCAGCCTGCAGCCCCCACTGCTGTCCTGGGGCCCCAGGGCCTCGGGGATGCTGCCCGCAGTGAGTCCAGCAGCTCCACTCCCGATGCACCTCCCTGCTAATGCACCTGGGAAAGCAGCAGAAGATGGCCCAAGTGCTTGGGCCCCTGCACACCTGTGGGAGACCCCGAAGAAGCTCCTGGCTCCTGGCTTCGGCCTGTCCTAGCCTTAACCATTGCGGCCATCTGGGCAGTGAACCCTCCCCTCAGTTTCTCTACCTCTGAGTGTCAAATACAAATAAATCTTTAAAAATAAATAAGTAAAATTGTACTTTACAGCTGCATTCATATGAAGAAGAATATAAACCAGGCTAGGTTCATTATTATTTTTTTTACTACTTTACTCTTTTGTTTCAATTCTAAAAGAAACTAAAATTACCCGCTAAGAATAGTGTGGCCCCAGGGACCAGCCAGAGGGTGCCCTGGGAAGGCCCCATTTCCCTCAACTCCACAAAGAAAGTAGGCAAGACTTCCCTTTGCTCCTAGGCTGCTCTCCTGTGGACCCGAACAAGGGTTCACACACCTGGGAAGACAGGGGGCTCTGGGCCGAGAATTCGGTGGCAGGTGTTTGGTCTGCACAAGCCCGGCACCAGATTTCAGAGCCGTGGATGCTCTGTGCCTTCTCCTCAGATGCTGGCCCAGTTGACAAACTCTGAAAGTTTTCCAGGCAGGACAAGCCCCCGGGGGTGCTGGGCACACAGGGTCGTGGCACTGGGGTGCAGAGGGCAGGCTTAGGGGACCAGGGCCACGCTGGAGTGTGGGGCGCCTGGGTGTTGAGTATGCTTCCCTAGGAAAACTCTGAGCTCGGCGGAGCACGGGGAGGCTCCTGAGAGCCCCGGAGCCGTGTCCATGGGCAGCTCTGTTCGCCTGGTCCCGCGGGTGCCCGTAGAGAGGCCTCACGGATGCGCTCCCGGTGTCTCACGTTTGCCCTGAGAGGCGGCCGGGACCAGGGAGGCGGGGCGTCCGGCTGTCGGGGCGGGCACCGGGGCGGATCCCGGGGCGGGGCGCGGGCTGGACTTGGCGGAGCCCGGGCTCGGCGGCGCGGCTCGTCGCGCTGCTCCGGGGGGCTCCGGGCGTCCCGGCGGCCACCATGCTCAGCGTCCTGCACTTCCTCCGGAGCTTCTTCAAGGTGAGAGTCCGCGTCCCGGCACCTGCGGTCGGGCTCGCGGCTACCAGCAACTTACCAGGCGGAGGCGAGCCTGCGCGTGGCGCTGCGCCCCACACCGGCACCGGCTCCCGCTCGCAGCCAACTTTCCGATGTGCGGACCCGGAGGCGGCGTCCCACAGCCGCACTGCGGTCCCGACCCCCGGGAGGGAGCGGTGCCGTGTCGGCAGAGAGCTTGACAGTGGCCCTGGCGAGCCTTGGCGAGGGCGAGCGCCTGGGCCCGTCTTCCCGGCGCCCGGGCTGTTGCAGCCCGGGTCTCTCGGTTCCTGGACGGGCGCCTGGTGTCCAGTCCAGTAGGTGCCCAGAAGTGGTTGCTGTCGTATTGTCACCCGGACTGCGGGAATCCGAGGGAGAGGCGGGGTAGGGAGCGAGAAAAGGGGTGGCTAAGCCGCGGCAAGGGAATGGGAACCCACAGCCGGCGCTGTTAAACTCCTGCGCCTGCGGGGGGTCCGCTCCCTTCCCAGGCCAGAGCTCATCAGCACCTCCGCTTCACCTGCCCTCACCGGCAGCGCAAACTGGGCGGTGGGCTCCGAGGCACTGTCAGAGTGGTTGCGGCTGCAGGTGGCCAACCTCCACCTCCACAGGTGGGCGATGCCGTGGGAGGTGGTTGGGTGGCAGGGCGCGGGTGGACTCTTTCTGCAGGGCAAGTACCAGGAAACAGAGGCCAGCTCTGGGCAGGACAGGCTCAGGGAGGAAGCTTCTCCTCAAGCTGCAGCCTGGCAGGCAGCTGGGCGGAGGTGGCCCAAGGCTGGACGGCAGGAGCCCTGCCCTCACCCTGTCCCGCAGTTTGCCTGAAAGTGCAGAGATGAACCATCTCTCTGGCCATGCAAACATCAGCCGGGCGAGAAGGTGGTCTTCCAGGAACCTGTGTGAGTGCGTGCAGAGGGTGCCTCTGGTGCCCGCGCTTGGGCTCAGAGCACACAGATTCCCCCTTTGGCTTCTGGTGCTGTCCCTGCTGGGATGTACTATCCTGGGATGATTCCCTGCGTGCCTGATCATTGTTTTCCGTTTTGAAACAAATGGGTGATAATCTCACAAGTCCCGGGCTCAGTGTGAGCATCTGTTGAGAAAATGTGTTGGTTTATGAAGTGCTGGTTCTTCCTCACCCCCAGCTGTGGTGGTAGCAGGTGGCCTAGGTGAAGGGAAGCCACACAGCAGAGTGTGGCTGAAGGGGAGGCTACCAGGCATCCCTGGACAACCACCATGCCCCACCTGCAGACTGGAAGGCTCCCGAGAATGGGGCCTTTGAGAAAGCATTCCCAGCACACGTGCTGTCTTCACCTGTTCTCAGAGGCCTTTCCATGCCTCTGGGTCCCAGCACCTGTCATCTGGTTCCTGTAGGTCCCAAGACACCCCAGGCCCCTGTGTGCATGCCAAGGGGACGAGCACCTGTGCCTATCAGAGATGTCCCTTCCTGCTGCCCACCTAGTCTCTGAATGCCGCAACAGCAGACCACTTGTGTGTGCTGCCAAGCCACCTGTAAACACAACGCACACTTGTTCTCCCTCATGGTCACGTGGGAGCTCAAGGCAGTCACCTGCTTGAGTCACCTGCTGGGGCCTCTGGGCCTGGGCGTGTGTGGACCACCTGACCACTGCTCCATCCTGGGAGCCTCAGGCCACTGGGGTCCCACCATCACACTCTGTTAGCAGAAGCATAGCGAGCTGTCGCACCAAGAGCCAAGAGGAAGAAGGGTGCCTCAGACCCCTTCTGACGGGGGCCTCCTGCAGACTTGCATAGCATCCAGGTCTGCGGGTGTGACAGCCACATGACAGAGCATCTCCCAAGTGCAGGTGGGCCGCCCGAGAGCCTGTACTTGCCATAGGCTCCATGCAAAGTGTACCACCTTTGAGGTCACCCAGCGAATGAGCTGCAGTGGCATACTCTGGGGGAGGGGTGGGAAAACAGCCACTTGACACATCCAGAGGCCCCAACTGGCCTGATGTGAAGGCCAAGGTCTTTGGCTTTCTTTCTTTCTCTCTCTCTTTCTTTCTTTCTTTCTTTCTGACAGGCAGAGTGGACAGTGAGAGAGAGAGACAGAGAGAAAGGTCTTCCTTTGCCGTTGGTTCACCCTCCAATGGCTGCCACAGCCGGTGTGCTGCAGCTGGCGCACTGCGCTGATCCAATGGCAGAAGCCAGGTGCTTCTCCTGGTCTCCCATGCAGGTGCAGGGCCCAAGGACTTGGGCCATCCTCCACTGCACTCCCTGGCCACAGCAGAGAGCTGGCCTGGAAGAGGGGCAACCGGGACAGAATCCGGCGCCCCGACCGGGACTAGAACCCGGTGTGCCGGCACCGCAAGGCGGAGGATTAGCCTAGTGAGCTGTGGCGCCGGCCGGTCTTTGGCTTTCAAAAGGGCTATTCCAGAATGTTCCAGACAACTAGTGGTCCTTGCTGCCCGCCTGCAGCCCTCAGTGGAAGTTCCCTCTGTTTTCATGGAACACAGGCACGCATGCTTCCAAGCATTTAGGGTATCTTGCTACTTGCTGTCCCTCAAGACCCATCAGTCTGAAGCCACAGAGCAGTACGAGGTCTCTGCTGGCTAACTTAAAGCTGAGTCAGTGAGCTGAGGCATGTGGTGGAGGTTTGCTTCTGCACCATCGTGGAAAAGCACCCTGCTTCTGCTCACCCCAGAATCCTGGGCAGGAAACACACACACACACACACACACACACACACACACTAGCAGAGCTTTTGCCAAATCCCTGGCTTTGTATTAGTGTCAAAGGTCACCCTAGAGTTTTGTTCCAGTAAGGAGGTTGCCTGTGTGTCAGTGCGGCTGCCAAGAGTATCTACACAAGAGTCTATTACTGTCGTCTGCTGGTGTTCAAGGCTCCCATGTCTTCTGCCCAAGCCAAACCAACAAGTAAAGTAGGGGAGGCAGCGGGGATGTCCCTCCCAGACTGCTGATTTCTTGGTCACCAGGAATGAAGTATTGCTACTGATGGACAGCTTTGGAGGGGAATGGTGTTCAAGAGACTTCCACTTAGGTGTCTTGCCACAGAAGTCTCTATGCCATGGGTCAAGGGAGCCACGGTGGAGTTTCTGCCACTCTCTGAGCACGTGTTTGTCAACTGGATGCTCAAGAGCTGGACAAATTGCAAAGGGCAGGTCCTGGAGTCCACTGGGTTACCGTGAGGTAGACACAAGGCGCAGCTCCATTTCTGACCTGACATGCTGGCACCTTATTCCTGGTGACAAGCTGTAGGGACATCCTGAGCCACCTGGAATTGTTGCCAGCTCAGAACCCGTTGGTTGGTGGTTTCTGAAAGACCCAGATGTTCCTCAGTAGAGGTGCCTCGGAAAGATTCAACAGTTGACACTCCTGATGTCTCTGCTGGAGATTGGCTTCCCTCCACTCAAGGAGCTTTGGGTTCATTGAGTTTTGTCTGGGAATTGGACAAACGGCACTGGGGTGTATTCTGTAAACGTGAGTGCCCCTTATGTGCTGGGTGTCAGTCTAAGACATGGAGACTTCCGTATAGCAGGCCTAGTTTTTCCACTTTTATCAATCAGGACCCCACTGGTACTGGTTCTGCTTGTCGATTTCAGTCCTGGTGGCCCCAAGAATGGTTGGCCGATGTCACAGAGCTGCAGCATCAGCACATCCTGGGTGCCACTCTGGCTTCCGGCACTTGAAATGCTGCCGGCTCCACCATTCCCACCTGTAGAATCCCAGCTGACAGCTGGGTGCCCCATCAGCAGTGCCAGCTGATAGAGAACAGTAACTGCAGTAATTCTCCAAGATGTTGGACTTCTCAGTGCCTTGGGATGGGGCCTGTCTCTTGGGCTCTCCTAGAGGCATGGTTATGGATGGAGAGCAGCTTGCTCTTGGTCAGAACAAGAAGGAGCGGCTGCAGAGGGAACTTCTGTGCCCCTTCAGGTAACACGGAATCCCTTGGCTTTGCAGTCTCATTTCCTGGGGCGCCTCTCAAGCTGAGTTCCGTCAATGGAGAGTTCAGCCATGGGATGCATCCTAGCTGTTGGAGCTGTTGTGCTGTTTCCCGGATAGGTGGCTGCCCCGAGCATCACCATGTTCACCTTGTCTTTGAGTTATGGGCCCCCATCCTTGGTCAAGCATTCTCAGACCCATCCCCCTGCTTTTGCCTGGTTTCTTCTGGTACAGGTGGGCACAGTCACTGTTTGCCAGCATGTGAGTCTCTTCTTTGTCATGGGTTCCCACTACCATGCTGAAGCGCAAGGGTGGCCATGAGGAGAACAGGCCTCCCTTTCTGGTGAGGAGGAGGGGGTACCAGGCCCCTGAAGCAGCCAGAGAGGCCTGCAAGAGCTCAGTGGGGTTGTGCACCACTGTTTTACCCATTCCTAAGCAAGGGGTGCCACTATTTCCCAGACGATGCCTTAACTTTCACTGGAGGAACAGAGAAACAATTGTGTTGGCTTTGTGGTTTCCAGGGGCACAGATGGATGGACTCAGGCTTGCTTCTGGTTGAGGGGTGTCTCGGGCCTGGGGCGGTGGGACAGGAGAAAGACTGCATGTGTGGTCAGGGAGAGTCCCCATGCCGATATTCCAGGACTCAGTCTGTTGTTCCTTCTATTTAAGTTGGCCGCCTTTCATTTGGGTTGTGTAGCAAGAGCCATTTCCCTCTCAAGGCACCCAGTAGACCATGTAGCAGGCCAAGGCTGATAAATATTTTTAAGATTTATTTATTTATTTGAAACCCGGAATTACAGAGAGAGAGAAGGAGAGGCAGAGAGAAAGGGGTCTTCCACCTGCTGGTTCACTCCCCAGGTGGCCACAATGGCCAGAGCTGTGCCTATCCAAAGCCAGGAGCCAGGAGCTTCTTCCAGATATCACATGTGGATGCAGGGGCCCAAGAACTTGGGCCATCTTCTGCTGCTTTCCCAGGCCATAGCAGAGAGCTGGATTGGAAGTGGAGCAGCCGGGACTGGAACCAGCACCCATATGGGATGCTGGCACTGTAGACAGTGGTTTTACCTGCAATGC